AACAACATTAACTGTACTGCAATTCAAGCTATTCTAAAACCGAATTTTTGAGTCCAGTAAGTATAAACTAATTGGCTTTGAAACTAATACATCTGATTCTAATCTATATAATAATGATAGAAGTTTTACATGTTTCAATCTTTATATAAGGTAGCTCTCACCAATATATCAAATGAGACAGTTTTTTTCTATACTTAATTATTATATCAAAGCAGTAATAGGTAAAAATGTTCTAGAATATCTAAGTAGATTTTTTCATCATAAATCTAACAGAGAATAAACAATGTATTAATAATCAACTTTTATTTTTTTTCTCGCTTCACTGCACTCCTTAGCAAAGTTGGCTGCTGGTTTGAAACTAAAACCAATATCGCGAAGTCTTTAGTCATTATTAGAAAATTTTCACCTGTGATTTTATCCTTTCTAATAATTCTTCTTCATCAAGCTTTAAGTTTTCAAGAACTATAAATACACAATAAGTTTTTCCTTATCATATTCTTAAAGTTGAGGGATTGATTTAAAAAAGGAATTTTAGGATGATCAGTTGATCTTATCTAGAGCTCTTATTCAAATAATATTTCGAATAACTTAAATCATTTATTCAAATATTCTTCGAATGATTAATAATATTCGAATAAGTATTATTTATGGATACAGTACAGCTAATAATACATAGTCACTGTATAAACCAGCCAATGACTGAAGTTTCACATGATGAATAATAAAATTATTCGAACAAAATTTGTCTATCCGAATTATTCATTAGATAACTCTTTATTCTAATATTCGCTGAATACAAATTTTAATCTTATCGTTATTTGAATATGTTGAGCCTCAGATGCATCATAATTTAGGCCAATTATTGATCATCTGAAACCGGGGTAAAATCACCACCCTAAAAAGTTTCGTGGCCAATCAAATCTCAAGATCAGGTGTGCCGCTACACATGTCAGAAATGTGTGCCAGGTTTGTGACGCAGCAAAAAAACCTTTAAAGTTCGTTAGTGTTAAGGTTAGCGTTAGGGTTATCGTTTATAATAAGGTTAGAGGTTAGATGATTATATTGTAAAATCGCTCAAGAAAAACTTTTTGTTAGAGCACTAAAGCTGGTTTCTTACGCAAATTTTCGAGAAATAAGGGATTTTTGACAAAACAAACGTTTGTTTTGAATTTTCTTGATCGTGTTACGCTACACCTGATTTTGAAATCTGATTCGTAGTTCAGGCAATATGCGCCACACCTTTCTGACATGCTAACGTTACATGATCAGGAAAGTTCAAACAACGTTCGTTTTGTCAAAATCGCTCATAACACAAAATTAAGTCTATGAAACTGCCTTTTGTGCAGTAATTAAATGTTTCTTGTAAAATTTTGATATAGAATTGTCATTAAACACCAATCTAATGGCAAAATCATGGTCCTAACCTAAAAAGACGGAATTTTTACTTGAAACGTTTTTTGATGGCGATTTTACTCTCGATGTCATAAGAGGTGCGTCAGCTACGATAATCATAAATATTTAAGGGCTAGTATAATTTCCTTAACTCTAGATAACCGATATAGCAATAAAATGGTCATTATCTAAGCACGTCCGCGATTGGAAGTAGCTAAGGTAATGCTAGAGTAAGGAAGCTTTGCAAATTATTTTTATTGTAACATCATATATACAAAATAACGAATTCGAGCCATTTTGGTAAAAGATGGATACTACAATCACGAACAAATTTCTGTTATATAATTCTGCGCGCAAAATACAGTAATGATAAAATTAATTGATTATTGTGAATCTTGCATTATTTCTCATTTGCGAAAATCTCAGAAATAAGCTTTCCATACGTATATATTAGAATGTCAATAAAAGCGAAGATTAAACCTTCTGACACCGATACAATTTGAAACATTGATCGTACAAAGACATTCAAGGAAAGACTTGCCTTATTTAACCAAACCTATAATCACCAATTATCTTTAGATGACTAAGAAAGCAAAAATTAGATGTAGTTCATGCGCAAAAAGGTAGGTATTTTTCACAATTATTGGAAGATTTATTTTGTCATTAATTCATCCAAATATATATATATATATAAAAGACACAAAAGATATATATGATTTACAGGAAATAAAAAATTACAATTAGTTATTGGAATATCTATCGGAATTAAATCATTTGCTGAATATATTTCGGACGAAAGATTTCAAATACAAAGCTTAAATATATTGGTGGTTTTAGTACTATGCACACTGCAGAATGGATGGATGGAAAGATCAAAAATATAGACTTAATTAAGGGCATTCTCAGCACCTCTCTAAGTGAATTAGATTAAGAATCTGATTGTCCAGTTTGATCAAACAGACCAATCAGATTCTTTGTAGAGTTCATTGAGGAAGAAGCTTGAGAACACCCTAAATCAAATATTAAAAGAAAAGGTTTGCAACTGGCTGTATTGAAAAGCGTGTTGAGGTAAGCATAAACTATATACAGTATAATTATCTTGGTGATATATTATTATTATTATCGATTATTTATAAATAACAGCCTTGATACTTTACTTATGCATGAGTTTTTGGAATTTCATATTTTTAAATCTTCAAATAACGTACGATCACTAATCATTCAAGATTTTCAGATATTTCCTTGGTATAAAAGGTTTACATTTTTATTTGGACTCAGTAAACAACTTACGATTCTTCACTTTGAATGAATTGTATATGATGGTTTGTATGCTAAATTTGGTATTGCAGACCTTGGATTTTCATATTTTATATGGGAAAGCGAGAGGGGACACTTGTACGGTATTTTACTTTATATTGCACCAGGTGAACTTTTACACCCGCCACAGTTACTGTATTTTATAGTTTCGCAATGATAATGTATGAAATGACAATAGGACGCTGACGTTTTGGAACAGATCACATGACCAATATCTCGCGTTAAAAATTTGTCTAGGATTGTGTAGGTAATAATATTTAACATTTACTGAACCTCTTTACTATAATATTAAGTTTCTTAATATTATAATTAGGACCAAAGATTCTAAAAGATACTCCAGCAACATATGCTGAGTTAATAACAATGCGGGTGTTACTATCGGATCGGGAGAGCGTCAGTAATTGAGTGCCGGGTTTAGGTCAGCGATAGTGAACGAAAGAGATAATGGATAATGTATATGACTTGTATGCGAGATAAATATAAGGGATGCAGTAAGTCTGTACAGAATGTGTACTCGTATATATAATCGTGAATGATACTTGAATATTTTATAGGTGATTTATTATAGACGTCAATGGATAACAATATGTGCAAGGCTAGAATAATACATAACATGCATTAATTTAATATACAATAAAGTATGTATTCACGGAATAGTAATATAAAAGTAAAAGAATAAAATAGAAATAAGAAAATTAAGAGTTATAAGGGAGGGAACAAACCACTGTTATAACTGAGGGAACAAACCAACTCAGCTGAGGGAACAGACTGAGGGAGCGAACCAACTCCTGAGGGAACAGACCACTCTGCTGAGGGAACAGACCACTCTGCTGAGGGAACGAACCAACTCCTGAGACAAGAAAAGTGAATTCGAAGGGCTTTTATAATTACATGACAACTACAGTAGATCCTCCGATACTAATACAACACCATTCTATTACTAATCCTTATTTCTTATCAAATACCAGTGAAACTTACTCCTCGCTCCTTTATCCAATTCAAGACTCCCTCCGAAATATTCAACCAACGGTAAAAGCTTTGTCAGATTAGTAGAGCGTGATAATAAATAAATGCATTATGATCAAACGTTAGTGACCCGTTTGATGACCAGTTAATCAATCGTAATCTCAAGGGATTCAACCTCATAACTTCTAGTTTGGGAACCGCAGTAAAGTTAGAAAAAGGGCAGTAAGGCTAGATCGTAGCATCATTCGTGTACTGTAGTAGTTATCAACTTACGCGTCGACGGTCGATCACAATCTGGTATTTGGATATGGAAATAAACTGTATAGGAGTATGAATAAGGAAATAGGGAATAACTAGATATGGTAATAAGAAAACTATGTATCATATCGATATGTATTGGGATATAAATATAGGATAGATGTACAAGTGGAAAGACAGGGGATATCGGTTATACGGTTAACGGTTTGAAGAACAAAACTTGTGGATCATAGTGGCGCAGAATCGAGAAAATCATATGACGATAGGATAGTAACACGCGCATTCAAATCCAGAAAAGCGACTACTGTACACATTTGGTTTCATGAAATTTGTGCTTATAAAGAATTATGTTTATATAGAGGCTAAATTTTATATGTTTTATATAAGTTGGTAGTGATTTAAGTAAATGTGACTATATAGAGCGTGACTATAGAGAGGGTTGACTGTAAATGTTCATGAACTTTTATCAATTGTTTGTTAAAGGTGAAGCTATGTAACGTCCAATATCGGAAATATAAACATATAAACGTAAAAAAAATTTTTTAACAGATTTATTTATATTAGTCAAAACGTGACTATTGATCAATCAAAAATTAATTAAGATTTATTCAATAATTAAACTTTACATAATAATTATTATACATCAATACATCAATAATTCAATAATAGTTTTTAACTAGCACACCATGAAATGTTTTACGGAAGTTCTAATCTAATACTTTCATCATCATTCGCGTCATCATTCGTAAATTCACCAGAGTCACTTTTTTTCTCATCTTGACTGCTTGATCCGACCATATGATGATCATAAAAATTACTTAAATAAGGTGAATATGTATCAAATTTAATAAAGAACAATTTACTAAGAACATTTGAAAGAGTTGAAAGACCCGAGGCTATTAAAGCGAACAATGGAAGAATTTCGTATTCGACACTAGAAAGTACATAAAGAATCTAATAATAGGTGTAATATATATATTTTTAGTAAAATTAAATCATTAATTAAAATTATATTTTTTTTATTTCAACATACCTGAATAACAAATTGAGGTATATCTTGCAGAATTATGTCAACGCAAGATCCCCAAAAAATTGAAGTTACAGCTTTATCTGATAAAGGAGCTCTGAAAAGTTCCAGATCCATCAAATTCGATTTTAATATTAACATCACATCAATATTTGTACCAGATAACAATGCAAATGAAGTAGCAGCCCTTCCGTATTTTGTAAACCATGTTCTGAATTCATCTTTTCCCAAAAATATTATTGAAAAGGCTATAAATAAGTTGAATATTATGGGAGTAAATAGAAATACCACACTAAAATTTTTTTTAGATAATAAAAATTTAAAGTTAATATTAGAATATTAGATTGCTTAATATTTACTTAAATGATATATAAATTTTACCTCGGTGTGAAAAGATTTGGGACAGTTTTCGCATCGGTAAAAGTAAATATTGTAACAGTGGTAGTACGAAATACCGTAATACCAATTTGGAGAATGACAAAGTTTTGACTCTACATTTAAATATATATTTAAATGTATATTTAGATGTATATTTAGATATGGAAAAAAAAGTATATTCTAATAATATTATAATTCAAGGAAAAATAAATACCTTCGGTGATCTTATCCTGGCTATGATAAATAATAATAAAAATAAAATTATGCCTACAAACAACAAGATGAACTTTGTCTGATGTAACTGAAAGAATTCTGGTATTGACACTAACAAAAGAGACAATTAAAATAATTATTACATTAAAAAAACAAATAAATTATATTATTAAAAAAAGAAAAATCAAAAATATCTAATAGCACTTACTGGCTTGTTGAAAACCATAATCACTGTCTAACATATATGTTTTATTTCCAAATAATGATATGGCCGTAACACCTTTATTTTTTATTAGTAGGTTTAGATCATCTCTGATTGCAGTAGAATTCTTTTTGTTGCCATTCCTCATCTCATAAATGGTAAGTGAGATAAGATATTGATCAGCATTGGGTGAAGATGAATCAATTTGATAATGTTTATTTGAATCTAATCTTCCTGGCTCAGCGGGAATTATAATTAAGAGATCATTCATTAAATCAGTAAAAAATTGATTTACTCCAGAGGTAGATATTAATTGTTTAAAATATGTAGATCCACTTTGTGTTAACCGTAGTTTTCCACGGATATCACCTAATAAATTATGAGTTTTTTTAGTTGATGTTTAGCACATAGATAAATTCATAGATAAATTCATAGATAAATTCATGGATAAATTTAAACCACATTTACCAGTACGCTTTTGATCCGATATAGTGCTATTCTCTGTTTACATTGATTAATGAGATTCTCTATTAATAAACAAATTTAAATAATTAAAAGAATACAATAATGTAATATAAATTAATATAAACCTGCTTGAAACATCCATATATTTGGTTCAATACCCAGTAAGGGTTCATTGTAATCTGTGCTCTTTACAAAGTTGTTATCCATTACTATATAATATTGGCCACCCGGATCATTGAAGATGCACGTAAAAATTGAGAGGCTAATGGAAGTATTTGAAGCAATGCATACACGAGTATCACAAGTTCTTGAATTAATCAACAACCGAGGAACATTAGTTTCGCCAATTTTCTGGTAAATTGTTAAATTGCCATTTGAAAACGAAATGCGATCAAAGAACGAGACGCTGATCATATCGGTATTCAAGGGCAGGCCATTAGCGTTTATTTGGGGATATGTTGAGCTTATTTGTAAATTACCATAACCATTATCTATAGAAAATAATGTAAATGTCAATTAAATTAAAAACATACAGTAGTTATTATTTAAATTTTGAAAATATTTTACCAGAACGTGGAGGCGGAGCAAGTAACGGAAGATCGATCGCAAGAAGTCTCCAAGCACTGGTTGATTCATTTAGTGCCACTAACATGGTATTATTTTTTAAAATAATAGTTGCACCATATATATTTGAGATAATTGGCAGCTGTGGAAACACCCAATGATTGGATGGTGGTTTATCATATTCATCATAAAGACTGAAGTTGAAAAGTAAAGAAGTTATTGATTGTCCAGGAATAGTATTAAATTGTCGAGTTATATATGCATATCCCCCGTGAGGCAAGTTTCTAAGCAATTCAAAGGCATTAAAAGATATGTTGAATATTGGAGTCAATGACATTACAGAGCCAGTGGAAAGAAAACGGATTTTAAAATAAAATGGATTTGTAGTTGTATTAGGCGGAGCAGTGTTGTTAACCACAGTGACATTAACTGGAGTGATAACTTGTACAGCCGCAGTCGTCGTAGCGCTAGCAACTGTGGTTGTGGTTACGTTTGAATACGTGACATTGACAGTGGGCGGTGGGTTCAAAATTGATCGTAGTGCGCGTATAGTGCATATATGACCAATGAAAACGTAATCGACCGAGCAATACAATGTGGAGAACGTTACATTAGGAGTAGTCATTTCATATAAAATGGTACTTTGGCTTGATTTTGTTTGATTATAAGTTAATAATATTGCGTATATTCCTGCTTTTGCGGTAAGTTGAGCAGATATCGGGTCAAGAGCTGTATAGTTATTAGTCGAGTTAGCATACACAATCGCATATCCATCATTCAGAGTTGGAAATGCAGTAATTTGAAAGCTGGTAAAGGATCTTAAATTTTCAATTGTGTCACTTTGTAATAAATCGAAAACTCCATTT